TCTTGTTAGAATTTTTCTAAATTGTTTCTAATTCTAAAGTGTTTTTTCCCCTAAATTATTTTGGCTGCATACTCACTGATTATATCTTAATATGACAATGTCTGATAATATAATATTATACACAGTTTTAAAAGGTTTCTTTCAATTTCACAATTCTTTGTTGGTAATGACATCCTAACATGCAACCAGATACACTGAGATACATGAAACAGGTGTACTCAATGTTGTTAGTATTGCATATGGTTTTGTGTCCTATAGCACAGGAATTTTGATAAACTATTTCCAGTCAAAAAGAAAAGTGGGAAAGTTTATATTTGTGTATGCTTCATTGTTGGTATATTTCTGAGAAGAGAGAATTTCTATTTTGACTAGGATTTGATGTGGACCAAATGTTTTCCTTACACTTTTACCTGCTAAGTAATTCATTTACTATTATTGTGTAATGAATTACCACAAACAGAGTGACTTAAAACAACACACATTTAATATCTTACAGCTTCAGCGGGTGCAGATTGGGCCCTCTGCTGAGTCTGACCAGGCTATAATCAAGATGTTGGCCAGGCTGGGCTTTCATCTGGAGGCTTGACTAAGGAAAAATCCAATTTCAAGCTTTTTAGGTTGTTTGCAGACTTTATTTCCTTACATCTTTATGACTGAAGGCCCTAGCTTCTTACTGGCTGTCTTTAGGAGGCTACCTTTAGTTCATAGAGGCTTCCCACAATTCCTCTGCAAAGGTAATTCACAGCATAGCTGTTTGCCTCCTCAAGGGAAACATGAGAATTTCTGGGTCCCATTAGCTAAGATGGAGTCTTATACCATGAGATTGAGGAAGTAACATCCCATCACCTTTGCCTTATAAGGTAACCTAATCAAGGGAGTCACCCCATTAAGTTTGCTAGAGGTAAGACATGATTAGAAGCAAATCACAGATTCTATCTGCCCTCAGAGAAGGGATTACACAAAGGTGGGAATTATTGAAAATCACTTTAAGGTGTTGTAACCCCAGGGGAAAATGTATTCCCAGCCTGAGGCAAATAAACCTTTGAAGCCAAAATCAGTCAAAGGGAAAAATAAAGTGGGAGAAAGTGGTTTATTGCTGCAAGAAATCATCTACTCCCACTAGCCTGTGTCTCTCCCCAGCCTGGCTGGGAAGAAGCCAAAAAATACTCTGTCCCAGTGCCCATTTGCTCTTTCCCCACCCCTTGTAAGCACCTACTGATATAGAGATGGACTACTTCTCTCCATCCCTTGTAAACACCTATTGATATGTGTGGGTAAAATTGCAATATTTCCAGAATCTCTCTCCTGGCTTTAGTGTATCTCCATATCAACAGATGTTGAGAGAGAGAGAGAGAGAGAGAGAGAGAGAGAGAGAGAGAGAGAGAGAGAGAGAGAGAGAGAGAGAGATGAGTTTTAAACTTTATTTCTCTCTCTGACTGATTTTGGTTTCAAAGGTATTTTGCCCCAGGATTTCCTCTCCCTGGAGTTACAATATGGAAATGGACTAAAGCCAGTTTTACTTACAGGTGTACATGCTAAGGACTGGAAGAAATTTTTTGTAGACAAGCTTATGTACATTTTGTACCCTACTTCCCTTCCACTACCAACATAGTTCTGGTGGCAGATACCTAGCCATATCCATATCAAGATATGACCTCTGGCCTTACACTTTCCTGTTACTGTTATGGAAAAACATGAAAAACCTGGACTGGATTGATGATGGAAGAACCAAGCGGCACTCAGAGGTGTTGGAGTGTTGAGGTTTTGTTTTTACACTGGCGGGCTCAGAGGGGAGTAATCTCCCAAGGTCTGAGCCCTGAACCAAAAGCAAGGGGAGCAATATAAACTTTTCTGCTTCCGTATCTGCAACATTTCTACATGCACAGCAAGCAACGGGGAGTGAGTTTAGGGAGTGAGTGCCTGGCAGAGATGGAAGTGTAGGGGAGGAGGGGCAATGGAAGTTTCTGCTGTCTTTGCTAAAGAAGAGAAGCAGAAGGGAGCCACCTGGACTAGATTGCTGACCTTGTAAATGTTTCCCTATTGTTACTATGGCCAGGTAAGTCAGTATGGAGGGAACCAAATTTATTTAGTACTATGTGTAGCAGCTTACTGTGATGTTTAGCAGTATCTTAACTATATATGAAAGTGACCAATAACCATGTAATATCCCTCTAGATTCAATGTAGATCTACTCCTAATTCAACTTTCCCCTTGACTTGATCCTCAAGATATTCATGGCCATTCCAAAAGCATATCATCTGAGGGGAGACTTGTGACAGAGGCAAAGCAAATGTGAAAAGAGATAGATATAACTAATCAAAATTATAATATCTTATTCTTGTGAATTTTATAAAAACATATGACCATGTAAAGACATCTTTTCCATTGCCTCAGGGGTTGCTGAATAAGTGAGGAGCTTTGAGGTTGTTTTACGGTAAACTTTGTGGGAAATCTGCTTCAGGTTGCCACATATTTTTTTATTAACTTATTTTACAACTATTCTCTGGATATGAGGTTATAGCCAGAATTTTTAAAACTTAGGACACTTTCTTAATCAGTGGACTAATTATAAATACAAACAAACAAAAAATAGAGATCAAGATTTCCCGAAAAGTAAATAATTGGGCTGAAGCTACCCTCTTCATTGAATGATGGTTCTGACCACAAAGTTTAATATGCCTGGATTTAAATTGTGAAAAACAATAAAATCTGTTCTTTTCTTATAGGGCTACATTTATTAGGCAATTGTTATGTTCTCAAACTGTATTTAGTCTTTATGCTTTGTATTTGTGTGTTATTCAAACTTTGTTGTATGCATAGTCTTAATTTATTTTGAGGAGTTAATTACTGATAGTGGCAGTTACTGCTGGTTTGTGACCCCCAAAACATTATCTTTCTGCTTTTGCAGAGGGTGGGTGGTGGTAAGAGAGAGAGAAAGAGAGAGAGCAAGAGGAGAGAGAGAAAACTACACAAACACACACACACAAAAGTTATCAGGGAAATTGAGCCCTGTGTCCATAAAATGAAGTGTACCCTTAAGGTGTTTAATATGATTCCCTCACATTTGCTGGTGATTAGTTTAGCAGTGGTCATGTGGTCCAATTCTAGCCAATTTAAGAGGAAGTTCTGAAGCTTCTGGAAAAGAGAAATGCACAAAGAGAAGCCACCCTTTCTTTGAGACTTAGAATAACAGCAACTAACTTCTAATCATGAAAGGAAAGTTTTGTGGAAACAGAGAGAATGACTCAAGGCTCTGAATTAAGGAACTCTGCATGCTTACCCCTGGAATTCCTGTAACGTAAGATGAAAAAAATGTCTAGTCTGACATTTCTGTTACTGCAGAAAGCATTCGGACAGAAACAGCCTGTGTAAAATAAGGCATGACAAACACACACACATATAGCACTTATTGTGTTTTTTTTCTCATTACAAAAACAATGTATGTTCATTTTATAAGTTTGGAATTACAGGAATTTATAAGAAAGAACATTAAAAAATTAACACTCAGATAACTATAAACACTTTTTTTATATATTCTACTGTTTCTATGCATGAACTTTATAACTTTTAAAATTAGATTAATTGTTTGAAGCTTGATATTTGGGGGCTTTTTTATTGGAATGCAATTGATATACAGTATTACATTAGTTTCAGGTGTACAACATAGTGATTTGACAATAATATACATTATTAAATGCTCACCACAATAAGTGTAGTTGCCATCTGTCAGCATACAAAAATATTAAAAATATTATTGACTATATTCATTCCCTATGCTGTACTTTCATTCCTGTGACTAATAGGAGTAAAGGGAAAGCAGTTGCATTGGAATATAGTTTTGTATATGGACCACAGGTTAAAGACACCTGCATCAAGATTTTGATTAGCCCTTTCATGAATATATCAAAAAATACCTGAGAACATATCTAAGTAGAGAGTTTCTTGAACATGTAAGAGCCAAGCTGACTTATGTTCACTAAGCACATATCTAATAAAGCTCTTAGATTGTATCTTGCATATATGTGTTATTTTTACCTTTAAATCCAGAAGTAAGAATTGTTGCCAGTTTAGAAATAAATATATAATAAAGAGACTTGGAGAAGATTGGTTTTGTTGTGACTTATTTATATTACTGTGTCATCTAGCACAACTACAAAATCTTGGTATCAATATGCATGCCTTTAAAATTAACTATGAGCATTTAGCACTTTACAAATTTGAGCCTTGTCCAATTCAACTGTAGAGTGGGGCATGGATTCAATTAAATGTACGAATTTAGTAAAAGAGAAGATATGATATGAATGACAGAGTAGAAAGCAGGAGATCAGCGGTGACAGAAATAGGATCAGAGGAGACAGAACTGGAAAATAATCTAGAATGTGGAGCACACACATACCACTACCCACTTAAACTGAAAGTACTGAAAGTAGGAGAGGGGAAAAATATGGAAATTTTTTAGACTACCGTTTGTCTAATTAGCAATTTACTTTCCATGATTCTATGTGTCCTGGAATATTGGAAATTACCTCTTTTGTGGTACTACATATATCATATGAATATAATGGTGCTTTACCTATTTTTATAAAGAAGTTAAATAATGTTTGAATTTCTTTTAAGTCCCTTATATGCTTTTCTCATTTAATAGACATTACAGTCTCATTATTTTCATGCTCTCCCCCTTTTTATGGAATGGGAAGAAACAGGCCTGAATTAAAAGTATTGTGTTGACATATTTTAGAAACTGTATCACTTTATATGAACATCAGTAGGTGTTGGTTACACAGTTTTTCTTTCTCTTCTGTCTTCTTTGGCCTGTATTACTGAAACTGTAGTTTTCAGAGTTCCTGTTATATATCAACTATCTTCTAAGTTGTGTATTTGCTTGGTTTCTTATTATTTTTCTCACTGATTTGTGGATTATGAATTTAGTAAAATCAGAAGATAGAAAAAAATCTTTTATATTATACCAGAGGGTAAACATAATCTGTTTAGGTCTTTCTTAATTGTATGTAAAAATAAACTCCACAGACCATCTAGCCTAGAGGGATAGATGTTCTAACCCCCCCATTCAAATCCTAACACTGCTACAACTTCCCTTTTAATGAAGACACTTCACAGTGAAGGACTATTTTATGTCTCGTCAGTTTGGTGGAGTTGGATGGATGGGGTATTGGTTGCTGAATACTACAAACTGCAGAAGGCTTCAGAAGCCAAAGTAAAAATAAGACTCATCGTATGTTTTGTAACTACAAGAGGGAAAATTGACCTTATGGGCAGGGGAAATTCTGTCTCTGTGCTCTGTGTATTACTGCAGTATAAGGTTGTAATTGCTGCTAAGCCTCTTGGAATTCTGCAAGGCATGCCTATGTTAAAATTGTATTGTGGTTTCTCAGCCTTACATTTTGGAATTTCTTTGCCTCAAGTCATGGCTATTTTGAGTATTTATATATTATTATACAAGGAGAAAGTGATAAGAAACCCATACAATGTGTTATAGGTGTTTAGAAAGGGCAGCAGTTAATTCAGAAGCTTATTGAGAAATATTTCATAATTTTCCCTGAAGGTTTTCTTTTTCTGGTATTTAAGTCTCTGATAATGTAATTTCTAAAAGAATAGGGATGATAACACAACCTTAATATCTGCCTTGTTTGTATCTAAGTATACTGCAACCTTTGTGTTTATCATTCCCATATGAAGGAGCTTCTTACCTTGCTCTTTACATGACTTCCTCTGTAGTCTATCAACTACATAGAAAAATATCCATATATCAGTGGATCAAAGCATGGATTTAAAAGAGCAAAGAGAAAGAAGAAATGATTTACTGGATCTGAAACCTTGTTTAACATTTCAGGATCAAACCAATACCAAATTCCTAGGACATAGTAAGGAGTCCAGCAGACAGTAAAGGAAATGGCAAATGCAACCGTCATCTCTAGGGTCCTCAGCCGAGCTCTTGGTATATTGTTCTTGGATTGATTCAGTTGTAGTTCTATTGGATAGAGAAAAGATGTTTAAGGACTGGTTTTATCATCAAACCAAAACAGACAAAAGGAAGAGAGAATCACTAATTTAAAATAACGAATATAATGGGAAGAAATTTCCAATATTTTCAATAATGATAATTTGTTTGGAAACATGTTTATATTACAAGTGTTCCACTATGTCACACAGTGAATAGAAAAGAGTGACAATGATAGTATTCTTAAAATTAAGTTTCCACAAAACAAATTTGGATTTGAAAAATGTGGGCATCCAAACTCTTAAAGTATAAATTTTTGAGACTAGACTGAGGTTGAGCTGAGTTGAATTCTGAATTTACATTGAACTCTACTCACTGTCTGGACATCTCTGACAGTAAGGATGATGAAAATCACATATGGGTGAAAGTGTGCTGCCCCAAATGATCCTTTCCCATCATATGCCTCTTTCTATGATATCCATAGCAGTTTCACTTTTCATATTTATGCATCCTGTAAATTTTACAGGTTATTTCCTTTTTGAGGAAATTCACTGGAACTGTTAAGCAGAATTGCTGACTTCAACAGGTTACCTACATGAAATTTAAAACTTAGTTCTTAAAAGTAAAAAGGCACAGTTTCAAAGTACTCAAAATCTGTTCTGTTATTTCATAATCCAGAACTGCCATTTTAAAATTAAAAAAAATTCTTCATGCACTGTATTTTTTGAGGGAACTAGATAATGCCATTCAGAAATGGCACTTTGACAACTTCTTATTCATTAATCATGAAAGAGTGGATATATGTAGGAAAGCATTTGCATGCAGGATGTTTTAATTAATTAAATTTTACTAGAAATGTTAAAACAAATAATTTATTGAATACCGACTAGTTACAGATTTTTGTCAGACAAACTTAACTACCATTTACCATGTGCCTTGCTATCAACCTTATTCTTTTCATACATAATTTCACGTAATCCTAAATATCTGTAAACTTTAGTAATCTATAAGTAATAAAGAGGTTAACTCGAGTGAGCCCATTTAAAAAATCATATTGGCTTATCTGAATCTGAAAAAATTATTGAAGCTCCTATGACATACACCATGCTGCCACCTCTTTTGAGATATGATATGTCATTACTGGCTTAGTGCTTACTGTAGGACTTTACTGCTAGACTCCATGAAAGCAGGACTGTTGCTGGGCTATTTTATTCACCATGGTTTCCACATTTCTCACTGCTTCCAGTAATACTGAGTAGTGAGTACATATTGGTTGGATAAATAAAAGATTAAAAGACTAAATCTGTGTTAGTAACATTTTACTATTGCTCCTTGCCTCTGCTTTTTTGTTCTTCTGCTTTTGCATGGCTCACATTTCTTCAGACTGGTCCCTATTTGGAATCTATCTTTTTATTCTCCATGTGCCCTTCTTAGATACCCCGTATGGAACTGAATTTCTGTAGAATAAAATTTTGAAGGCAACTTGTTTTTGTAGTATTCTTTTTAGGAACTATCAAATACCATTTTGTGCTGGCAGCTGGGAACTGCCCAAGTATCTGTCATAGGACATCACCATAATTACTTCCTTTGAAAAATATTTGCTAAGAGTAATCATACCATAATAACAAAGATTTTTTTGTTACATTGTAGCAGGTATGACTTATGTGCTGTACTGCCAGTAACATGTCTTTTGGATGTCATGCCAAAAAAAACATGTTTATTTTGTAAATTCATTAATTTTCGTTTTTGGGAGTGCCCCAAATTACTTGAAGCAGAAAAGGCACAACCACATCTGTGAAGTTTCAGATGAGAGTCAATTACACATTCTACAGTATTTCATGTACCCGAGAAACACACACAGGTGCGCACACACACACAAGTGTGCATAGTTGTGTGGATATGGGGATTTAATGTGAAATCGAACAGTTTAACAAGTGTACTACTTACCATTTAATGAGGTATACTTTGCTATATTTTAGGAATTCTGTGTTTGGTTTAGCACATTAGCCCAACATGAACAATTTGCCAATGCTTATACTGGCTAAAATAGGGTAATTGTCCTCTCATCTTTAATTCTGCAGTGAGAATTTAGAACACTAGGAAATACTAAATTACCTCATTTGTAAATTGGGACAATGAGAGTATTACCTCATGGGGTGATTGTGACTATTACAAGAGTTTATATATGTAAATCGCTGAGAACCGTAATTGGCACCTAGTACTCTTCTTTGAGCATTGCTATTTAAAAACTCTTTACTCACAATTAACACCGAGCCTGAGGAATACATACTGTGAGGATCCTGATGAAGGACTTGAGTTAGGGTGAAGATGATTTTTGCATTGCAGATTAACATGATGAGAAAAGGGATGATGAAGAGGCAACTGAAGGTGAAAAAGTTATAAAAAGCTTGATGCCACCATTGTGGAAAACTGCAGTGTGTTACACACTGAGAGAAACCTCCTGTCTGGCCGGAGCTGTCTGTTAAATGGATCATCCTGAAGATGTATAACTGTAGGAGGAAATTTAAAAAATTAAAAAGTGATATTACTTTTTTCAAACATTGTTTGCATGTTTTCCTGAACATTTCCTCTTCTGCACTCTGTTTTCTAACATGTTGTTGCCCCCAAGCAACTGCTAAGCTCCTTGACATTATCCTTTCGACATTTCTATGAAAAGTTATAAATGGGTCTTAAAATATATCTGGCTAATATGAATGAACCTATGGGCTTTTGGATATTTTGGACATTATTTCAATCTTGCAGAACAATCATTAACCAAGGATTTATACCTTCTTTATATTTCAGTTTCAGGATATTTTGGACATTATTTCAACCTTGCAGAACAATCATTAACCAAGGATTTATACCTTGTTTATATTTCAGTTTCAGATGTAATTACGCTGAGTAAACTTTTTGAAATGGCTTTATTTATCTGCAGCACCTAAAACTGTGTCTAGCATTTATAATGTGACCCCAAAATACGTATTTAAACTTTATTTTTGAGACAGACAAAAGACATGTCAAAAGGCATGAACAGACAGTTCATATAAAGAGATATAACAGTTGCCCTTCCGCATATAAAAGGATATTCAACCTCACCCATGATAAGAGAAATGCCTCCACTGAGGTGTCATTTTACAGTATCAAGATTGTCAAAAATTAAAAAAAATAGCAACACACTCTCATTCAAGGCTTTGGGGAAAGAGGGACTTCCATACATTGCTAGCAGAAATGCAAATTGGCACAAACATATGGAGGGGAATTTGGCAATAACTATCGTAACTACATATGCATTTACTGTTGACACAGCAATCTGACATCCAAGAATTTACCCTGAAGATTCACCCCTACCTCCATTATATGAAAATACATATATACAAGGTCATTCATTGATGTGTTATTTGTAGTTGGAAAACATTGAAAATATCTAAATACTGATTCATAGAACAGCAGCAGCATAAGTTATGGTGGATCACACAATGGAGTGCTCTGCAGCTATGAAGAAAAATAAGGAACATCTCTGTGTATATGCATGTGTATATATACTTGTGTGTGTGTGTGTTTATTTTCTAGCTTGTTTGCTGAGAGAGCCCCTGGAACAATAACATCCTAGTACATTCAGCACTCTAGTAGCCAGTATATAGATCTTGTTTTCTAAACATTCTCTGCCAAAAGGAACCACAGCTCATTGGAGAAGTGGGGGATTCCAGGGCTGGGGTAGGCAAATTACAATATGTGTTTGGAACAACTTGTGCCCAAATGCCAGCAAGTGCCAAGGAATGTGAGAAGAGCATGTCTGAAGAGCTCAGGAGCCACATCTGGAAAAGAAAAACTGATAAAGTATAAACTATTGAATAAAGAATTCATGAGTCCATGCCGACATAAATTACAAACAACAGCAAATAAATGATGAGCGGGAAAGGCTCTTTGTTACTGTAGAAATAAAGTCAACTAGTAAATGTAAAAGGAAAATTGGAAGTAGTGATTACCAAATTAGTAATCACTACAATAATAAGTGATTCAGGAAAGAATCATCAATAGATGCTAAAAATATGGGTGGAAGTTTGAGGAAAAAAAATACTTACATCATCTCAAAGTGTTTACCTACAAGCATTTAACTATTATAAAGAGTATAATAATAACTTCACAGGAGAGAAATACACAAAGAATTAAATTAACATTGCCAGTAATGGGACCGATTGATTGCTTCTGCTTCCTTACATAATGCATAGAGAGAAGAACTCAGCACTCTTTGGTATTTCTCCTATAAATGTATAACCTGAATTTGACTGTGAGAAGACATCAGACAAGCTCAAACAGGGGGCATTCTACAAAATAGCTGGCGAGCACTCTTCAAAAATGTCAGTGTCGTGAAATAAAAGAAAGACCAAGGAATAATTTCAATAAAGGAGACTGAAGAGACATGGTAACTGAATCCACCATGTCATCTTGGATTTTATTTGGTTAAAAAGGACATTATTGGGACAACTGGTGAGATGTGAATAAGGTACATAAATTAAATAATAGTATTACATCAGTGCTAATTTCTTAAGTTTGATACTTGTACTGTGGTTATATGTGAGTACAAAACACACGGAAGTATTGAAAGGGACATTAATTCTGAACTCTTAAACAATTCAGGAAAAAAGATATAAGAGAATAAAGCACATAAGCAAATGTAGGAAAATGTTACTATTTGGGGAAGCAAAGGAACTGGTATTCCAGAAATCTTTATATGATTCTTGTAACCTTTCTCTAAGTGTGTAGTTATGTTTTAAAGAGAAGCACAAATTGAAGAAACCACTAAGGAAACACTGAAAATAGTTTTCAAAAAAAACTCATGGACAGCTATTCACTTTTTCCCCAATCACCAATCACACTTCTTTCCTACTCTTTTCCAAGCTTTTCTACTGAGAAACTTCATTTTATTATGAAACATTATTGAAAAAAAAAGGTAAGAGTGCCCACACACATTAAAACGAGAGCAAGCAAATTCGAACGAAAATTTGTTTAAAGCAAGTGAGGGGTTATATTCCTTTTTAAACTTTTTGATTGAATTACTAAACCCGAATTTAATTTAATTAACTCAGCGTTCCAGGATTTCTTTCCTTTTGAGGGTGATGAAATGGGAGTGGAGTATGTGTTAACACAACGAATCCTTATTTCCTTTCTTCTCTTGTAGAGAAGAAAAAATTTCATAAAATGTAAATATTATAATAAACAAACAATATAAGTCAAATATAATGTAAATATAAGTAATATAATATAAAATACAATCCTGAATCTTTTTTTTGTAATTAAAATGTTGATTTTCAGTTTCAAATCCTGTTTCAAAGGCAAAAACGAATTTAAAATTAATCCACTAGAGGGCGCGCAATGATCATATCATCAAACTCACGCATGCTTTCAGTTAGAATTTTATAATCCAGACTGCCTTTTTCCACATTACAAAGTAATTCTTTCAGTTTTCCATACTTCTTTGCACTCTAACCTTATTTAAAGTTCAGTTTTGAATTTGACCCAACAGATGTGAATTGAGCTCTTTGTAATACTTCACACAGAACGTGAGAGGCTTCTATTCAAAATCTTAACAGCTTCTCACCTCGTACCCCAATTGGACTTGGAACCAGATGACGGGAGTTTGAGTTTTTGCTCTACACTGGGTTACCTTTTCATTTTAATATTTCATGTCTTTAAGCCATAAGGATGAAATTGTCAATGAAAATACTGTGATTTGTGTTAACGGTTATTATCTTTATTTAATAAATGCTTATTTCTTAAACAACTCCTTGGTCAAACCACATACTGATACTCGCTGTTAGGAAAGATGAACCAAATATACCTTGATGTCAGGGAATTTAAAATTTGGTAGGGGAGACATAGCATGTATGTGACACCTGTTATAGAAGGAAGACTGTAGTAAGTTATGCAACAGCAGTGTAGTAAAGTGCTACAGAAATGCAGAATCTTACTTGCCCATCAACTAATTTGTTTCAGGCTTGGTTCAGTTTATTTTGTGCTCTAAGGCCATGATAATTTCAGTGCTTAATATAGGATCTACTTTACTTACAGAATTTTTTTTTTGTCCTTGGATTAAATTTCTTTAATTTCTTTATATTTCTCCTCTTTCATCCTGGGCCCCAGTTATCATCAGTGCTTGCTTTATTTTGTCATAAACAAGAGTAATCTGTTTCCATCTTCACAGTCAATTGCAGGTGCTGACTCCTTGTTAGAACATATTTTTAACCCTCACCTTACCCCACACTAATTATACCATTGCCTAATGTTTTCCAAAGGTAATTATCTTTAGATGATATGCTTCAGTTTCCTCATCTATAAAATGCAGATATTAACAGTATTTACCTCTAGGGGCTGTCAATACAATTAAATGAGTTAATACTTGCAAAGCACTTAGAGTAGTGCCTGGCACAGAGCACTATATTAATTATATCCATAATTATAAAAATTTTAAGGCATAGACTTGTAAATATGTATCTATGTATTTATACATTTATAAATGTACAGCTCATATTTTTTCCTGATATATCTGCCTTTCTTTTATCCAGCCTCCTACAGGAACAAAGGAAATAGAGAATATTGCATAGCATGGTATAGTATATTAGTTAAAAGCTCTGGGAATGGGGTTAACAGGGTGAGCTGACACCTTACTAGGTGGTAGTCTTGGGCATGCTATATGACATTTTTAACCTTAGTTTCTTCATGACTAAAATGAAGATGATAATTTTATCTAATTTATAGGATTGTTGGGTACCTTACATGAAATAATGCATGTAAAAGCATTTAGCACAATTCTGGCATTTTTATGTCCTCAACAACTCATATTTATCATTATTATCATCACTGTTATTGTTATTTCTGCTATTAGTATGCTGATACTATGTTTGTGACATATTTATTTATTGTACATTTGTGGTGAGGATTTGTTGCAATTATGTTGCTTGTCAAATTCAGAAGTGTAGATTCTCTGTGTGTCAAGGCAAACCTCTTCAGACCACAAATCTTTACAAGTCTAAAAGGTGGCTCATACATCTTTGTCTGCAGGCCCGGGTTAACTATGGGCCTAGGTTAACAAAATCTAGTGCTCCATATGAATACAGATAAGCTGGTGGTGTGAATTCGTTCTGCAAATTATCTGCTACCCTGGAATTCTTGTGGCCTCAGATGAGGTCATTGGAAACCATGTGATTTTTAGTTAGTTACGGACACACCTAATTCAGGAAATGTTTTCCCTCAACACGCACTTACCAGCCTAACCCGTCTTAAATCAGATCTATCAGGTCATGTTTGTTGCACACTTATCTCTTTCTGTCTCCCTCTCCTTGTCCCCCTCTTCTTTCCTTCCTTCCTTCCTTTCTTATGCTACTTTTAGAAATGATACCTCCGAGATGTGAATTATTATGCACTGGCACAAGTTTTTGTTTGAAATATCCTTGCTGATACCTCCCTAGGCCCCAACCTAATCACCTCCTTGCCAGATGATCTGAATAGTCTTGTCTCTTCCTACTCTATTTGGGTCTATGTAAATTTTCTTACAATAGTTTTGTTAAAAAAATCATTTTATTCCTTATACAGGATTTACAAGGGCTTCCACATTAATTTCTGAATTTCTTCTGGCAGTCAATGTCTTTTATAATGTAAGTCCATTATACCTCTCATCATTGATTCATTGGTTCATTTTTTGTTCATTATTCATTTTGCATCTTTTAAAGTAGAAGTTGAATGATTCATTTGATTCTGAAGAGAAACTAGAATATCCAAACATTTTACATTTCTATTTTTGCTAATATCTTATTAGGTACCATAAACATTAAGTTGAACACAACAGAGCCTCTACCATTTAATAATGTATTTCTTAATGGCAAAGACTGGAAAACAAACATATAATCACAATGTTTTATGACAAATAAATACTACACTAGGAGGTTGAAGAAAAGGGAATCACCACTGATCCAATTTCCTGTTAGTCCCAACTCTCAATTTTTCATTTCAGCCGAACAAACCTATAAAAATTAATCACAGGTTTCAGTCTTTGCCGAACAATATGTGTGATCCTTCATTAATATTGCTCCATACAAATCCTTAAAATTCTGCTTATCTTACTTTCATCCTAAAACCTTCCTTCACCATTTCAGCTCATACTCATCTCTCCCACTTCTTTCAAGAGGTTTACAAAATTTTCAGCATGTAGTTGCATTTGTTGTACGTTTTGTCTCCACAACTGAATAACATTTTCCTTGAGGGCTGTTCCTTTGTTTCATGAATACCAGGCCCAGTGTTAGGAGCCTAGCTAGCTTGTGCTTATCTTCTCTAAGAAAACCAATGAACCAGTAATACTCATACTTAAAAGAAAAAAAACAGAAAATTTCAGGGCATAAGCCTTAGCTAAATAACCTCATTTCAAGTCATATTTTCTAAACCTATTCTTGAATATGCAGTCATTGTGAGAATTATAGCAATATGTTTCTCTCCAGGGAAATCAAAGCATTTTAGTTTTTCCCATCTCTCCTGCCATAAAACACACATTAATTAAATATATCTAATATCCAACAAATAATAATTAAGTGAGGAATTGGTGTGAAATTATTACTCAGCTTTCTTCTGTCTTGCACTGTTTAATGAGTTCTGCATGGCAGTTTTTTCCCACAACCCTCTGGCCAGTTTAGAATGTTTAGATAAACCGTCTGTGGTGGCAAAATTTTGGAGGATTCTGGTTAACTCTGACTTTACTTCTTAATGCATATTTGTATTCTGGGTTCATCACACAGAGTATTAACAAGTATAACGATGTGTTCATTTGTTATTAAAGGATTGTTTCTGTTTGCAAAAATGTGTCCTTTTCTTCAGACAGCTAATTGTTGAAAAAGGTAGATTCTGCAGGTCAATTAACCAGGTTGCCTCTGATGAAGACAATCTGGAGAGATATCTGCCTTCTGTATGAGCAGGCCTGTGCCTACTCCAACTGTTTTACAGTTTTGCTAATAGCCGGTTGCAGTCTAATCTACCTCCAGGAAAGTTCAAGTCAACCTCAGGGAAATATTCAAATTTACCAAAGTCCAAGACTTACCATTTTCTCTCTTCTTTCAATCCCACCCAGCTGCAAGCTGCAGAACAACATACTAATCAAGAATAATTCTCTCTAAGCTGCAGTGTCAGAATTCTTGAAGTTTTCATTCAAAATTCCCAAATAATAGAAGTTATACTTTCTACCTATGAAAAATTTACAGTTCTGAAAGATTCCTTCAATTTTGCAATTCCATAGCAAAAGGAGAAATGGACGGAACAGTAAGGAAGGATCAGTAAGGTAGATCCTATGTACCGGAGATCATGCTAGACACTTTAATGCATCATTCATTTAATCATTACAAAGCTGCATAAAGCAAGCATTACCTCCGTTTTATAAATGAAGGCACTGAAATCCAGAGAGGTTAAGGCATTTGCCCACAGTAACAGACACAGGATTCAATGGAAATAATTTGAGTAGTATCATGAGTGAATTTTAAATTCAGAATTAAGCTTCAAGTGTCCTTCTTCACTTAGGAAAAATGTTTTGAAACCAGGCCATCTGCTGAGGTACTACAGTTACAGTTGGCCCTCAGAATGTGTTTGGCGTGCTCTGTTTCAGTACTCTGTTGGATTAAAAGGCAGAAAACAAGTTCACCTTGATCTTTCTTATTAAAAATAAAATATCTCAGGGACAAAATTTGACATAAATCTAAACTGGTCACATTTCCAGCTAAAGAAGGTGGAAATAAAATGGGACTTTGGGCTCGATTACAATAAAATGTCAGTAGTGTCAGAAACACAAGTCCTGAAGCTCTGCCAATGGGGAAGGATGGCAAGCAGTGATGCTGATTGATTTCCAGAGCATCTCTTAAAGGTAACACAATATTGCCTTTGACATACAATAATACAACACCCAGTTTAGGTAGGAAATCTCTATATTCTAACAAATCCTGGATAATAATTTACCTGTGGTCCAGCAAAGATGCTGCTGAGGAGCCAGGCCACGCCAATCATGGACTGTCCGAGCTTGCTGTTGCTTTTCACAGCTAGCGGCCTCGTGATGGCCAGGAACCGGTCCAAGCTGATCACTACCATCATGAAGGCTGGGGTGTACATGGAGAAAAGCTTCAGATAGCTGAGCACTTTGCAGAGGAGCTCTCCAGCATACCACTGCACTGTAATGTTCCATATTCCGTCCAACGGCATGACAATCAGAGTCTCCAACAGGTTGGCTAAGGTCAGATGTTTTAAAAGCACTTTCATTCTTGAGAGCTTTTTCCCTTTCTCTTTCTTCTGAGTCCACTTCTGAAGTTTCAGCAAGAAAGAGGCATTAAAAGTTGTGGAGAGTAGAAAAAGGAAGAAAGTAACTGTCACTCGGATCTTGCCAGATAAGGTCAGGGTGGGGAGGTCGCTCTGCATCAGCGGGAGGCTGCTGTTGACGGCTGAGCAGTGGTGGTGACTCTGTTCCGAAGGGGCACTGTTTGCCATCCTTCCCCACTGGCCGAGCTTCAGGACTTGTGTTTCTGACACTACTGACATTTTATTGTAATCAAACCCAAAGTCCCATTTTATTTCTACCTTCTTTAGATGGAAACGTCACTGGTTTAGATGTATGTCAAATTTTGTCCCTGAGATATTTTATTTTTAATACAAAAGACCAAGGAGAACTTGTTTTCTGCCTTTTAATCCAACAGAGTGCTAAAACAGAGCACACCAAACACATTCTGAGGGCCAAATGTAACCGTAGTACCTCAGCAAATGGCCTGGTTTCAAAACATTTTTCCTTAGTGAAGAAGGACACTTGAAGCTTAATTTTGACTTTAAAATTCACTCATGATACTACTCAAATTACTTTAATGAATAGATTTTCTAAGAACTACTGTTAGTGTTCTGTCCAAGAGATGCAAAATGAAAATGAAGAAAAATATTAAAGAACTTGATCTACTTAAAATCTCGTTTTAAGAAATTAATACATTGATCAAAAACTTTTTTCTTTTTCAATGACACACTGCTGTGCCTTTGAACTCTAGAAAAATACACTAAGTAAAAACCATCCTCCACAAAACACTGAATTCATACTTTAATAGTTAGAATTACTTTCATCTAATACAAATTGGACTGCATTCAATTAATCAGTCTTAATGGTCAGATTATCCATGCTTAAAATGAAAATGGTGAATTTTATTATTGCCTTACTTTTATAATTGTCTAAATATTGTACTTGCTCTTATTGTACATTATAGCATAGAGTAACTAGATACAAGGGTGAATACTGCATAAATGCCTTAACCACTTTATATATGTTATATGTAATATGCATATTTGCTTGCATTTCTTCATATGTTATGATTATTTAACAGTAGCGCCACTTTAGAAACTTAGTGTTGTGGCTTTGACAATCATGGTGAGTGCTTGATATTATGTCCCAGTACTGGTATGGCTTACATTGCAATTCATTAAATCATCAGCATGATTTGTCTTATGTCAACTAGTTTGCTTTTCTGGCAGCCAAAGCAGGAGTCATGTTAAGAGTAAAGGCAGCTCTTTTGACTTAGATGGT